CCCCCCCCCTCATGGACGAATAGTCCGACAACTAAGGCATGAAACAGATTTGGTATGCAATATGAGTACGCCCCCCCTCACGAACAGTCAACGGTCTAACCCTTACGACATGCAAAACATAAGTGTACCCCCCCCCTCGCACACGCCTGCCTGCCATGTTCCTGCCGTCGAATCGTCCAGGTGTGAAGGCGTTACTGGCAGCCTCGCCTTCGTCGCTAACCGCGGGACGACTACTCTGGGGGCGGAGCGGGGGCGGGGGGAGCTTCGTGGCTCCCGCAGCGAGGAAACCATTAGCAGCGAACACAAGAGGCGTCGGCGCCGGCGCCGGCGGCAGCGTGGCTAACGGCTGGTCGGCGGCAGCAGCGGGAAGCGGAAGAAAGGACGTCGGAGGCGAGCGGCGGGGGCATTCCTTGCGCATGGGAACGGTGAGGAAGTGTTCGGCGGCACCAACGGCCCCTCGAAGAGCGACGTTGTGATCTGCAGGATGTGTACACTGCCACCACGACCCCCGGCAAATGACAAGAAAATGGCTGGTGACTTGTCCGCTCCCCCGTCTGCTTCACATGATGTGCATGTCTGGTGGCGATGGCGGTGTTTGGCCCTTTGCGCGCGCTTAGCTTGGCCATGTGACACATTTAGCGAGTGCTGACTATTAGGTGTTTGGTGGCTAGTCTCGCCCCCGAGTGTTGGTGCTGCATGCCGTGAGGCAAAATATTTGTCCTTCTCTCTTGTACTTCAAACCACCATTATTGGCGGCAACAGTAAGCTTTTCCTGAAGTTTCGACGCATTTTCCGGTGTGGCGTTGACGTTTTTTTGGTGATTACAGGTTACCATGTTTTGTAGATGTACAGGTTTACATATCTCCCACCTTTGACCACACACAATCACTCTTTGGGCTTGTTTTTATTTTGTGCCGTGACTGGCAGCGGCTAGAGATCGTGAACGACGCGGATATTCCTGAAACGGCCGAGTTTTTCGTGGAAAACTTCTGGGACGACGCGGTTGCACCGTCCCAGGTACGGCGGTAGCAGAAACGGTAACGGAAATGGTAACGGTAACGGGAAGGTATGCCCACCGTGTACATCACTCACGCGTTCCCGTGGGCCGATGTTCTGTCGTCGATACCTCGCATTGTTCCAGCCAGTTGTTGTACATCGCGGTGAGAATATCCCGCATGAGCTTGCTTGCTGTCGTGTGTGTTGTGTGACCTCGGTGTTGCGCGCACGGGTATCGTATGCCTGTATGCATTTAGTACGCACGCGAGCGTTTGGCAGTGTATTGTTACACGGCACGTGTTGCCTTTTCAGCAGCCGAAAACCGTGTACCCTTGTGTGTGCGTTGCTATGTGTGTTCATTGTTTGTCAGCGGACTGAATTGTCGCCTCCACTCAAAGATCCCGCCGCTCCTGCTTGTTGTTGCGGCGATGATTGTCGTGGTGGCGAGCAGAAGCGATCGTTGGTGCGAGAGCTGGTGAGCGACTACCGACGACGATACGGGACGCTGATGGGGAATCGAAAGGTGTTGTTGTTTTGCTCATCTGTCTGTCTGTGTGTCTGTGTTTCGTCCTCTTTATTATGGTGACAGTCCCCTCATTGTTCGTGGTGAGACGTGTACTACACTCTTCAGTGTATGTAGAGCACTACAACCTTTCAGTGTATTTTTTCGTACAACTACAACCATCCAGGGTCACACAGGAGGAGGTAAACACTGTCTGTGTGTGTTATATTAGTCTGTAGCTGACTCTTTGTCTGCGTCTGTCAGCCTGTCTGGGTGTGCATCTGTTTCTTGCTTGTACCGAAACATTTGGGTTGTTTTTTAGCGTGTTGTAAGCATGATCCGCAAAGCACGGTATTGCCCTATCTTGGTTACCTATGCCTTCCAGTCGAGGTGGTATGTTGACACCCCATCTATTCGACGTGCGTGTGCCGACCTACCGGGCATTTAATCCTCCAAAATCAACATCAACGACGACGATGACGACGACGACGACGACGATGACGATAAAACAGCTGCAGAGCATGCTCATGGTCGCGAGGGGAAACAGAGGCGAGATCATCGGCTGCATCGCCGTCGAGGTTTCGGTCTGCATGGGGGAGGTGAGCGAGAAGCGGATGTCGTCCCATCGCAGTTCGTGCCATCTCGTTCCCTCGGGAGTTCGTTATCACCACGATCTTGGACCAGAGGGGGCCGGCGGAAGGGACTCAAGAGGGGGTGGAGGGCATTGCGACTCGACGATTGAAGTTTCAGATCCCTCCGGACGATGTCCCCCGACGGCTCTTGTACCTGGGAAGCCGCAGTGACACCCCGTGGGGGTGTTATCTACCGTAACCCTGCGTTGCTTCTTCGGATGACGAGATGGTGTCAAGTGCAATAGGGGGCGAGTTCCCTGCTCCGAAAAGAGACGCTGAAAACACGCACCCAGGACGGAGAGTGTGTCATTCTTTCGTGTGAGGGGAAGAGGTGATGTTCTCTCGTCCTTGGGCTGGGGAATCGATGGCGCTACGAGTGCTACATACCAACGACTGGGTTGGGGCGCGGCTTCTTCATCATGAGGGGCCGCTCCCACCACCTAAGCAAGCTCTTTTCACGCTCTCCTCCTGTAGCAGACCCATTGCCAGCCACCCCCACCCTAATTCACGTGGTGCTACTCGTGCTTGGTTACGGCAAGTCCTACCGCATTTACAACCCGCACTCTCGCTTCCACATGAGTACCAACGGTTCGACGGGTTCAACGCACCCATCGAAGGCGCCCCTCACAATCGCGAAGAGGCCTACGACGACAATTGTGCTGTCGATGACAGAGCGTCGTAAGCCCCCTCCCGTCGGTGAATGGTGCCTTCAGTTGGTCCCCTGAACCCTTCGAACTGTTGGTATTCATGCGAGAGCGAACGTGCTGCGGATGACAGAGCGTTGTAAGCGTCCTCACGTTGGTGAATGGTGCCTTCAATGGGTTCCCTGAACCCTTCGAACTGTTAGTACTCATGCGGAAGCGAACGTACTGCGGTAGGACCGACCTGCTTTCCTTTGCCGTGACCAAGCGTGATGCCTTCCTAAGCATTTTTCTCCAGCTTGTTGACGTGACGTTCTAAGCATTTTTCTCCAGCTTGTTGACAGGACGTTTCCTGTTAAAGAACGTCCGAGTTTGGCCCGGACTCCCGAAAGCTCTGGTTATTTGCTGAAAAATCTTCATTAGGGAGAGCTCTGGTTCTTTGCTGACCATGAATAGGGAGATCTTCCACTGACAGATCACCGCTCCTGCGAATATGATGATTGTGTCAGAAACAAATCCTCAACCCCTCGTGTGCTACAGTCGGCGCCCGCACTTTAAGAGCCTCTTCGTAGTTTCGGCCGGGGCGGGGGTTTTCGCTGTATTCCTAGGGTCATGCTACGAATGCTCGCTATAGAACTAGGTGCTAGTGTAGGAGTTCTAAACCGAGCTCACAAATGGTGCTCAACTCCTTGTGTACTGATGTTTCGCGGCTGTATCAACTTCTTAACTTACCAAGTTCTTACGTGCGGGCACAAACTGTACTCGCTTGCGGTGAAACCTGCTGCCGCTGCTCTACTTGCCGACGTTCGTTCTCAGCGCGTGGGCGTGAAAGCGCGAGGGATCAGCCCCAACGCGGAGGGCGCGGAGCTCCGACCTATCCTCGCCAACCTGGCCGTGGCGCGCTCGGAAAGGTATCTGTTAGTCTATCGGTATGAGCTGGAAGAAAAAAGAACTATTGGTTGTTGTTGTTCGTTTATTGTTCGATGTCCGTTGCTGTTGTTGTTGTCGTTGTCTTCACGAGAGAAACCGTTCTGGTCTCTGCTCAGTGCGCTGTGAAAAAGGTGTTGAACCTTGTGTACGTACTTCTACACGATGCCATGACGTCATTTCTGAGAGCTGGTCTTATTCTGCCACCACGGTCAAACGACAGCATGCGTGTGTTATTTCACGTACGTGTGGTTTTACGCTTTGTGCCCCCCCCCCCCTTGGTGTTTGCCATCGGGATTGGGTTTTCGTCGCTTGGCAACGACGTTGTAAAACAAGCCGCCCCCCCCGGTGTTTGCCATCGGGGTTGGGTTTTCGTCGCTTGGCAACAACGTTGTAAAACAAGCCAAGTCACTTCGTGCACTCGGCCACCAGGTTACCGGTTTTTCTTTACCTCTGTTTTTTTTTTGGCGGTAACCATAATGGTGGTCGAGTAGATCATGTTGTGCGGGGTGGAGAACCCTCACTCCGCGCAAGGGGGATGATCGCACCACGTTGTGTTAAAATGGTCAAGCACCCTCGAGGCAGTTACACAGTACTTACAACTGTCTCTAGAAGTGGAAGCACCAGAAAGTAAATTAAGTCATACGCAGCTGTCATCCGAACGTAAGCAAGTAAGCACAAGATGCCGGACACCGTTGGCAGGATGCAGCGCTCCCTTCATGCGACTCGCCGAATATCTCACGGCGCTTCGCGCTTGGTGATGTGAGAGCCT